CACACACACACACGTACACACACACTCACACACACACTCACACACACACACACTCACACTCTCACACACACATCTGTGATAGGTGAGAAGAACCTGACACACGGTCCTGCTGCTACAGAAGATGACCAGGAGACAAGGGGAGGAGGAATAGTTTTACTTTTTCCTTCTCCCTTTGGTATGTTTTGAATTTCGTACCATTTTACTTAGTTAAAAAAATGATTGTTTTAGAAAGCAAAGGGTTTCTCATACAGAAAATTATTTGTTTCCTAGGATGAGATTTTTGTGTGTGAGGGACAGGGGTACATCTTATACGTATATAAACCCTTCTATGAAATCAACAGAGAAATTAGAGACACGAATAGAAAGGATTCTAGTCCTGGTTCTGACTTCACGGAGGAAATACTGCCCGGGCACAAGGCAAGGGTGCCCCGGGCCTGATCTCAGCAACTCCAGTGATCCAGACCCAGTCATGGCTCGAACCACGTGAGAGGCCTTCCGTATAGCAACGGAGTAAGTCGGCAGTGAACCTTATTGTTAGAAGACACACCTCCACAGGAACCATCCTCTTACTATTCTATCTTCGAAATGATGTTGACAAAACGAACTGTGACAAGTGCTTCTTATACAATTGGAGACAGGAGACAGGAAAGCAGGTGGTGGGGAGAAAAGGGTGACGAAGATTGAAAGAGAGACAGGAAAGAACCCGGCCAGCTTAAAATGAACACAACAGTGCTGAGCTTCTAAATGTTATTTAACTTTTAAATAACTTATAGGAATCCCAATAAAAAGTAAGTCATGGCAGAATGGCCATCTGAGTCCAGATTACTTAACATTCATTCAACAATATGCTTGATGAACAGGAAATGGACTGAATCACACCATATGTGATTCGAATTAGAGCGATGTCTTCACTCACCCGGATGTGCTGGAGGTAGAGAGACAGGTCTCGGATAAAAGATTTGATCAGCCTTTCTTGCATCCGAAAGTTCTTTTCTGTTTCTTCAAATACTTCATCTTTTATCTGTTCAAAATAAACAAGTGCTGTTAGCAGATTTGGACTCTCCCTCAATTTACCTTATTGGCAAAAGTATCGTTCTTAAAAACATCTTTTGTTTAAATTTTAAACCTTTGATGTTTCCCCGAATCATACCGAATTGAATTTGAACACCTCTATGTGGTTTTGAACCATTTCCCAAATACACCAGGCCTCCCTACCTTCACACCTTACCTCCGGGCTCCTGATGGAAGAAACCCTGTGCTCTAGCCAGGCTGTCCTCACTGTTCCTGGCACCTGCCACGTTTGCAGACCCGATGCTTTTTCCCATGTTGGTGCTTCCCCTCCCCCCATACCAAACCTGCCCCCTTTCTTTAAGATTAAATCTCTTGCCAACAGGCTCATGCTCACTGAGCTCCTGCTTTCTTAAGAACTACAGCATGTAAATTGCAACTTAGCAACTGATTATTTTCTAGCTTGCATTTTCCACTGCTGGTATCATGTACACGTGGCGTAGTGAGTGAAGTCTGGAGACTTCGGATCTACTCTCAGCACTGTCCATCAACTGTTTTTCAGATCTCTTCATCCCTCAGACTTCCCAGCTCCTTGCGTGTGACAGATGGTGTTGAACTCAGGTGATCTCTTTAATCCCCTCTAGCTTAATAGGTCTACAGTTTTAACTTTGTCTCCCTAATAGATGATAAACTTTTTATGGGTGTCTGAAACCACGATAATGATTATATGGTGACCAATTTGGCCTCCTGATTTGCCTGTGTACACACTGTAAGCAGCTCACCAAGGCAGATGGAGGGTTGGGTGGTGGATTCCCATAAACAGTAGTTGCAGGATCCTGTCACCAGCCAGCAAACACCAGGGGAGGTACTAAGAGGGAAGTCAGGCCAATGCCAGTTGGCACTATGCAGGCTGCCCTGTGGACCCCTGACAAGCCGCCCAAGACATGCTGAACCTTCAATTGTGGGAGCCTCACCTGTGGAGCAAAGCCAGTGAGGTGCTTCAGGTGACTGCTAACGCGGTTGGACTTCTTGATGATGGAGTGGATGTTCAGCTTGGAAATCTTCTCCATGAGACTATCTTCATCAGCCTTCCGGTACTTGAGGACTAGGCAGTGAGTCAAATCGGTGAGTTATGGAAGCGCTTTCCTGAGCATAGACTACAAAATGAGCTATAAAGCGATACTAACAACCCAACTAGAGCTGCTCCTTGTTTTCAATGAACTTATAACTGAGTAGAGACAAATTATTCACCCAAATCACCATTTATGGACCGATAGAACACTCAACAGCAGAGAGACTGTGCGTAGACTGGAGAAGGTTAGAGACAAGGAAAGGCAGCAGAGGTGTAAGGAAAAGAGCCTAAGATTTGGAGTCATGGAAACCTCTGAGTTCAATACCTGGGTCTGTCATGTCATCCAAGTGTGGCCTTCAAAAAGTCACTTAACTTCTCTGAGCCTCATTTTCCTCTCCAGTAAAATGGAGAAAGTGATAGTACTTGCCTTAGAAGACCATCTTAACTGGTCTCATGTGTAAATGAGATATTTATATCTAATCGTCTCACACAGTAAAATGCTATACAGGAGTTATCTAATTAACCACCGCGTCATACATTAGGCATAATAGGCAGGAAAGGCTGCAGTTAACAGCAAGGGGAAGGTGGCAGCAAAAAGGCACACTTTATCATTGTGGAAGATGAAGACAACGCTGCCTCAGGAGATATGAACCAAGACAAAGGGCTAGATGGTCAGAGAGCTTTCACAGCCATAGTCAACATACACATGAATGCGGATGGCATGGCTGAAGCAGAAGGCAGAGCAAACGGTTTTAGGTAAAGTGGGGAGAAGGGTGGAGAGACAGGCAAAGAGGTTATACTACTGTATTATAGATTCTTTGATAATACATAAACTGATGTATTATGGATACACTATACTATACTATACTATACTCATCAAGTGTTCAAATTAGAGCCTCGACAAGAGATTTGATGAAAGAGAAAAGAAATGGTTGAGTTTGTACTACATCATAAAGAAGAGTGGTTGTTTTGCTGTCCAGTGTTGGGAGGGGACAGGAGGGTCTCAGACCAGAGAGGCAGCTTACTGGGCATAGGCAGGGATTATGGGACCCAGAGACATGGGCACATTGGGGTTTCCTGAAAGACCGAAAGTCCTAACTTAAATGGAGGCAGTAAAGTATACAACTAGACGTGCAGTGCAAACAAACGTAGGCATGGACTGAAAAGGATTGCCTTCAATGAGTTGAGAAGGCAACCACCCGCGCTGAAAGGAACTCTCGATCACCTATTCATTGTCTGATCAGTCTTCATATCGCTTGGGAAAGGCTTGCTGCGTTAAGCGTTCTCAGAGATGTCTATTTGTAATATTCCATGATTGTGCTTTCATTATTACTGATCTCTCTTTTCATATCACATTTCCCCCCAATTCTACTACCATTTCCTCATCACAGCCCTCTTCCTACCATCTGCCTTGTCCATCTCTGGTGAAACAATTCTTTTAAGGACAGCCTTCTCAAGCACGTGCTTCCTTTGCAGCAGGTACGCTTTTCTTACCCAGGTCCTTCCGACGTTTATATTCGTTAATGTTCACATTGATTTCCTTGACGGCCAGGACTGCATTGGTCAAAGGCACTTTGTCTGGGTGGGATTCTGGGGTGGAATTCAGCAACTCCATTAGCAGCAGTGGGTAAAGCATTACTCTCTGCACTGGTTTGATGAGGAAGGAGCCCAGGTTAATATAGTTTGTGCATCCCCTACAAGAGAAGGGAAAACAGAGACTTTCGGCCACTGTCCATACTACAGGGCCGACAGCTAGTAACTGTCATTCCTAAATATAGCTCCGTTCTTCCCTCCTACTCTCCGATTTCATTCATTCATATTTACTGGGCACCTAATAAATACCAGTCTGTTGTTTTAGGGGGACTCAGTAGTGACCACAACGAGTTCCTGCCCTGGTGGGGGGAGACTGGCAATAAATACATGTCATATTAACTGTCATTTGGTGGTAATTGCTATGGAGAAAAATATGGCATGGTAAATGTATTTTCAGGTTTCTGTCTATAAAGAAGAAATGAAAAGACACGAGCTTGTGCATTAAGTGGCAAGGGAACTTACCATTCGGTGTACAGGATCCTACAGGGCAGTGAGCATGGAGAGAAGAGACAGGTGATTTAGAGATAATGCTGATTCACATTTCCACATTCTTCTCAGAATACCTACTAGTTCAACTAATGCCTATTAGCTGGGCAGACAAAAATCACATGGGTTAGCAGGGAAACTATGACTGTCTATGGTGGCATAGCTAGTCTATTAAAAAAAGTTAGTAAGCCTCTAACTTCACTTTGATCTACTTAGATACATACATATTATATCACCCTTAAGACCCGGAGATTCTCACCTGATGGTCAAGAATAACTGAATTTGCTCTTCTTATCTATATTCTTGTTTATTTGGATCAAACTACCTTCCTGGCTGCTTCTTACCCCAAAACGCTCACATAATACTCTGCATGTTTAGATAAACGTGACTTAAGCAAATAAAAGTACAAGCAGGAAGCCCATTAAGATTTCCGTGGTAAATAATGGGAAAAGGGCAGGTGACCTAAGAGCACCTATAATACTATAGAATTTATGTTTAAAATTAGATAGATGGATAGATATCATAAGAAGCCTAGACATATACATGGGAGTGATTTCCAAAAGGCAGAACTAAAGAGCTATGATGGAGGAGAAATGGTCAAACTCCTACTTCAGCTCTGCCAAGGAGTCCTGAAGATGCTTCTGGATCTTCTCATCCTTCTCATAGATTTCCAGCAGCGAGATGGCCTCATCATGATTCTGGCAGTAAACCTTGTATGTTCCCTCGAGCTCATCCCGGTGATCAAGAAACACAGGTCCTTTGAAATATACACATACAGTGTTTTATAGTAACTTTCTTCTCAGTATCCTAATGTAAAGTAGATAACCAAACTTTCATATCAGTTAAATCCTATCATAAGAAGTAACAGTAAGGCTATCCATCAAATTAATAAGAAATTTCCATGTAATGGCTTGAAAATTGTACTTATTTAAAGCAAAATTTAAGAGAACCCTGTCATCCATGTATTTTTTCAGCACACACACACACACACACACACACACACACACACAGCTGGTCCCTGAAACAGCCTCCAGTCCCTTTTTAATCAGGCAGAGTAAGGTGTTTGCAAGTACTCCCCATGTAGGTATGTGATCAGAACCAGTAAGGCCCCCCCACTCTCTAAGCCCAGGAAAATCTCTCCAGGGATGAAGAGATCCTTCTACAGCAGCATTATATACATTAAACATTAGGACTTTAAATGAAATTTATTAAAATATCTGTAATAAAAAAATTTGTGACATAATATGTACTTCTATATAAAGCATTCAATAGCAAAATGTAGCAGTGAATCTAATAATCACCATAATTTATTTCAAAGTATGGTGAGTAACATAAGAAACTGGTAATCTTAGTTGCTTCTGGCTGAGTATTAACTGATATTTCAAGAGATTTACAATAACCTAATTTGATACGAACATGTAATTTCAGTTGGCGACAAAGTCACAGGTACTGCTAATATTATGTGGTTTGTTCCCTACATTCATACCTTTAAAAAACCCCACTAAATTTTAGTGAGAAAATACTGAAAATCAAGATGTAAAAAAACTTTTTTTGATCCAAGTTCATGGACTCCTTCAAATCTAACCACAGACCCCTGGTCCACAGCCAGTTAGGCACAGGAATAGCTCCTAAGCAAACTGAACAATGTTCTGTAGAAACAGAACAATTTCGTTTAGAGCTGCTGCCTGAATGTGCCGATTCTCTGACTTATTAAAACTACTCTTTCTCTTGCCTCCTTTCCTTGGTCCTTCCTTCTTCAGCTTATACCGCTCACCCCTAGAACAGTGCCTGTTTGTCCGTGTGCTCCTCTCTCAAAATATCCTACTACTGCTTCTCCTGTAACTATTTCAACCAGCTGCTCTGGACACAAGACCCTCCCCTTCAGGGAAGCCCAGTCAATGTCACCTCGGTTCACTCCAGGTTGCACCCAACGGAATTCCCTATCCTTGTGCGGATCGGTTTCTATTTAAATTAAGTGTATTCCCTGAATTATAGCTCCTTTCTGTAAGAGAAACTTTGTTTCATAAACCTCACACCCATGCTGCCTTGTCTCTGTCTAATCCTGCACAGCAGCTGGCGTGGGGCGGGCTTCCTTCGTGACCTGCAGGGCCGCTCTGGAATCCCTGAGCCACCAATGTCCTCATCTAGCTTTATCGTCCGCTATTTGCCTGTCTTCTTCTCTCACACTGTTCCTCTGTATCTGTCCCCTACCAGCATCCCTAGAACCTTCGCTACCCCACGGATGATTATTCACACACCTCCATTCACTGTTCTTCAACCTCCCCATTAGTGACTATTATTCTACATCAACTATGAACCAGCAAAGCTACACCTTTATTTCCAGTGTCTTTCATACTGCGGGTTGTAACCCATAAACGGGTCTGCTTCATGGGTCATGACCGGCACTTTTTTGAGGAAATAAAATGGAATAGAAAAGAAAATATCAGAAAACACTGGACATAGTAAGAGTAGGCACAGGCATATACACACAAACACGTATCCTGAGTCCTTATGTAAAATATATGTTTCTGTGGGACATGTTTAAATACTGTAAAAGCCAGTCCCCTATATATGACTAGCTACTGAGTCTCCTGTACTTCTGTCTCAGCTCAACCTCTTCATCTTCTAACTCACCCAAGCCCTGAACACCTACCATTCTTTCTCTCCTTCCCGACTAGACCCTGTCCTGGCTGTGCCAGAGCCTTCTCCAGTCAGGGTTAGTAAGTCGATTCAATGCTGCTTTCTCCAGCATCCTAGATTACCTTGGCTTTTGGCTGAGTTACATCTCTCACTGTACACTTTTTCCATTGCTATTTCTGGGTCATAAAAAGTGCCTGAAAGGTACATTGTTGAGACGGAAAAAGGCTTACTGCAGAACAGTTTGAATAGTATGCTGCCATTTGTATAATTTTAAAAACTGAGGGTGGGGGATGGAGGTAGAGAAAATATATATGTAATTGTTGTTATATGATAAACTATCTCTGAAAGGATATATGTATTAAAAAAACCAGTAACACTGGTTGCTTCTGGTTAAGAAGGGCTGGGTGGGCTGGAGGATGGGTAGGAGACTTTTCATTAAGTAGTTCTCTGTACCTTCTAACTTTGTGCTATGTGAAAGTATTAAAAATAAGTTAAATTTAAAATATACTAAATAACTTAAACTTAACCAAAATTTAAAAATTGCTTATGCAATTCATGTCAATCTGTCCTTTGCTAGTGGCTCAACAAAGCTTCAGATTACCTTCCTCCGACTTCTCAGAACCTTCCCTTATCAGATGTTCCAAATCTAGTCCTTGCTGAATTCCCCATTGAGTGCACTGCCTGGCCTTCCGGTTGACCAACACTGGCCTCCCAGCATCGTCTTCTCATACACATCACAGCCCTGCATGTTGTCCTTCCCTTGTAAAGCTAAAATTCCTGCCTGGGTCCTGAGCCTTTCAGCTCCTAGGACGTCTCCTCCACTATCCTCTGAGCACCTTCAACACATCTCGGTCTGCTACCTAATTCCTGTTTGTCTTGGGACAAGAAGTAGAAGGGAAGAAGGAAAAGTAAACACAGTTGATATCTTACAGGGGTAAGATTATGGATATTTTTTTTAATGTCCTATTTTATTGTTGTCATAATATACAGGCAACAAAACAAATTGGAAGAAAAAAATGATCATTTGATGAATAATTAATCCCATTTATACACCAACCAATTTCTCTCATTTCTTTCATAATTCAAATATATGACCTACAGACACTCATTTCAAATACCTTACAAAATCTTATACATTGGCTTTTTTGCTTTATCATTTTACTAAAATGGGGTCACCATGGCTTGCTTCTAGTCAATCAATGTGTGCGTCTTCCTCAGCTTCCATGACCTCTGACCTCTCCAGTGAAACTGAGAACAAGACCCCAGGCTTCAGCTTCTCTTACTTGACATACAGCTATTCCATATAGGAATTAATTGCATGAGCGGGGACAACAGAAAGACCTGAGTTGGAATGACAGTGAATTACTAGCCATGTGAGCCTGCGCAAATTACTTTCCTCCTCTAAGTCTGTTTCCTCATCTGTAAAGTAAGATTAATAGTAGCACCTAAACCTCACAGGGTTGTTGTAGGGAACAACTGAGATCAAGCTTGACGTATCTTGAAAGGGGGTGGGGTGATAATCAACACTCGAGAAACATTAACACTGCTGCACTATCACCCAACACCCCACAGCCGTTGCCCCTCCTTCAGGAAGGCACAGCCCTGACTCTGTTCCTGAGTCCATTTCTCTCCGAGGCACATCAGGTAAACACTGCCCAGTCTAAGCCAACATCATGATCCCATTCCCATTTCTAGTGATCAGTTCTGGCCCATGAGAAATAAAGAGAAATCTGATGGGTGGGTGCTGGAAAAGGTTTGCTCACTCTTAAACAACACAGGGTCACTTTTTCCTTCTGCTGGATGTTGTCATGTGTGGAGTGGGATGGCTGGAACTGTGGTAGCATCTTGTGGCTATGATTCCAACAATATAGGAAAATGACAGGATGTCCCCTCCCCCATGGCACCAGAGCTGGTCTGTCTGACCAATAGAAATGGCAGAAATGATGGTGTCATATTGAAGATCAGGTTATGGAAGACACTGCGGCTCCCATCTTGAGCTTCCTCTTTCTCTTGGATCACTCACTCTGGGGAAAGCCAGCTGCCATGTCATGAGGACAACCACGGAGAGGCTCATAGGGCGAGGAGCTGGGGCCTGAAGAGCTGAGTGAGCTGCCTTGGAAGTGGATCCCTGAGCCCCAAATGACAGTAGCCCAGGCCATCAGCTCGAGAGACTCCAAACATGAGTGACCCTGAGCCAGAACCACCCAGCTAGCCACTCCCAGATTCCGGACACTTAGAAACTATGACATAATACATGTTTCTTCTTTTAAGCTGCTAAGTTTTGGTACAATTTGTTACATAGCAATAGATAACTAATATGGTTCCCTTGTTTAAAAGAAGCAGATGATTGTTTTTCAAACATCTTTGATAATGACCCACATGAATACATTTTAAATGATGACTCACTAAACATACATGTAGAATTGAATTAAAAGTTTCAAGAGGCTGTAGTTATACTTATTTATAGCACATTCTGATATTTCCTATTTTATTTTATTAAAAAATATATACTGGATATGACAACACTAATGGGCTGCAACCATCAGTCTCAAAAACATCATACTATATGATAAGCTAAAATTTCTTCTATTGCTAATATCCCATATCACCTCAGAATAGGCTGCAGATAAAAGGAGCTGAGGGCCAAATAACCTCTGAACTAAGTAACTAAGACTTATTTCCTAGCATAACTACTCAAATCAGCAAGGCCCTTTTCCTGCCTCCTACTCATGAAGTTAAAAAATAAAATAAAATAAAATAAAAATTTTTTTTAAAAAAGCTGCTTTTGAAACAATGGCAGGAGCTCATACCTACAGCATCGCTGATTTCCAGATCAGCCAATAATTGCTTTGCGACCTTAATCACCATCTGCATATTTCCAAAAAGTCCCTCAAAATCAATGTTGGGTATCTGAGAAGGGGAAACAAAATACAAAGATGCACAAAAATGAAATTAATTAGCATATCATTCATATTAGGAATACCTCTTCAAGGATGCTACAAAAATTATTCTAGGTCATCTTCACTCATTCTCAGAAGTTTCCAGAATAAAGACCTCCAACATTATCTTTAGTGTCACCCTTTAACCTTGATCCAACTATTGATTCTGTTCTTCCCACCCCTACTACCTTAGTATTAATAAAATGACTATAGAAACGACTTAGTCTATAATTACACTGGAATTCCCACCCAGTACCCTAGAGCTGATGGCACTGCCCACTTCCGGTAGAAGTTCTTGGCAGTGACTGGTCCAGGAATACAAGCCCAAGCCCAGGCCAGGTGGTCAAGTAACAAGCAGTAAGGACTGTAAATCCCCAGGAACTGTTAACCTTTTGTTCTATCTCCAGCATCTAGAAAAGTACCTAGCATACGTACATGATAGTTAAGAGTTTCCTGAATAAACCTTGTAGAATCAGGTGCCAGAGCCAGGCAACCCATCGTTCCCAGACTCATTATATTATCGCACAACCTTTCCAGTACAGTGACAATCCAGACTCCCTGGGACTGTTTTTAGGGGCCAAAGAAACAGGCATGTCCTGGTTAACCGCAGACTTGATAAGTGACAGGATGCTGTCGACTTAAGCTGATGACACACGTATGCTGGGGCCCTTGAATTAAGAGCAGCAGCAGTAGTCACAGCCCTTACTTCGAACCCAATAAATCTTTGTGGTGAAAGCCCCCCACATCCTGATTCTTCAGGCTTGGAGAACCGCATTCAAGGTAAAACTTAACTTTCTCCCAAAGACCCCACCTGTGCCTGCTGCAGGGGCACCATGATCCGCTCAATACACATTTCCAGATCCCGAATGTAGTCTCGTTCCGTCTGATGAAGCTCCTCTACCACCTTGGCTCTCTTCTCCAGCATCCTCTGTCCTGGGTTTTCTGTGGACACAGACCCAGAAGGGGACACAGATGATGAAGACTGGGAGGAGAGGAACGTCATTTCTAGAAGGGAAAAGGGAACTGGTCAGCAACTCTGCGTGCTAAAGCAGGACTCTTCAACAGTTTGAGTTGAATAGAACACAGTCCTTGGGAACCAAAGGCCTTGCAACTGTCAACAATCAGGAAACCTGATCCCACCCGTCTGTTCTAATCATGAACAGATGAAGAGCTTGGAATGCCATCCCTGCAGAGAGAACTCCCATCTGGGTGGTACGATTTTTAGAATTTGTCCTAAAAAAGAGTAGCTGGCCCCATTTTATGAAGACAAATCAGTGTCCACAGCTTCCTTGGCAAATTGGTTGAAAAATCTGCCCTTATTAAGAATTGTTTCCATTTAATTAGGTATAAAATCCATTCCATGATCTCAGCGACAGAAATACCAAGCTGGAAGTTAAAAACATTGATACAGCACACTAAAAAGAAAATTATGGGGAACATAATGCCAAATAAAGGGAAGACAAGAGTTAGGCAGGAATTATCCATCTGAGATCAGTCTTTAGAAAACATAACCAGGGGTGACCGGTTAGCTCAGTTGGTTAGAGGGTGGGGCTGATAACACCAAGGTTGCAGGTTCGATCCTCACATGGGCCACTGTGAGCTGCACCCTCCTTAAAGAGTCAACTATGCCATTGTAGCATGAAAGCAATGTGTAACCAATGACCATGGCTGTTCCGCAATAAAATTAAAAAAAAATAAAAATAACCAAAAACATGTTAGCATGATTAAAAATCCCTATGAAATCTTTTGCTAAATTGCAGTTTTTCCCACACAACACCCCTGAGATTCTGATTCAGCAAATCTGGGTGGGAACTGGGTATCTGCAATTTTAACAAAATCCTAGATGTTTCTGAACATGCAGGTGACCTTCAAGTTCCACACACATATTATCTAATACTCAGTCAAACTGGAAATATCTGGCTTGAAATGACTCCAAATGTAAGACTGTTTTTCCATTATTCCAAATATATTCTAAGAAAAAAGCTTGATCTACAATTTTCTTATCTGGGACAACCAAGTGAGAGAAGGCAGTCTCTAACCGCAGCCAGCAGTGCTGGAGACAAGAGGCTTTGACTCTTGAACTCCTCCACTCTTTAGCTGGGGAGGCCCTGGGAAAGGCCAGTTTCCTCATCTGTAAAATAAAGAATACTACCTGCTTTGCTGAGCTGTTAAGGGAAGTAAACAAGCTAATGACACAACTTAGTCCTTTTACCACAATGGGCCCGAAAATGCAGTCTGCACCAGGTTACGGTGAAAATACACCAAGTAGAAAATACTCTGTTCGGATACCATAAAAAGCTACTTTTCTGTAAAAAAAAAAAAAAGAACATCTGGAGATGAGGAAGTTGTGGCCCAGCACCAGCCTATCCCACTTTCTTCCTAGGACTGCCCTCTAGGTGTTAAGGACCTGGGGCTGACCACACACATTTACTTAATGTGATAAAACAATTAGTGGTGGGTTGGGTTTTTTGTCTTCTTTTGTTCCCCTTTCCACCCACTCCCACTCCCCAGTCCCAACTCCACTCCTTTTCAAGGTGCCCTCACCCACTCAGGTCAGTACTTGATCACTAGGCTCACTCCTCAGCGTGCTGAGAAAGGCATTTGGCCAACGTGCAGCTTCCCACAGCTCTCGTAACCACACTACAAAGTAGTTCAAGAGAAAAGCCACTCACTTTCTCCCCTTGCCTCTGAAAGTTGGCTGTCTTTGGTGGGGAAAGTCTTTGAATTCCAGGTTTGGTCCCAAACTGCACTTGATGAGAGGGAGGCTGACACTGCTTCTGTGCACACTGCAGCAACCCCGGGAGGTACTTGGAGTGCCAAAAGTCTGGTGCGTGCGTAAGTGCGGGTCGAAGTGTAAGCGGGCGCAGTCGAATCTTCCCAGAGCTCAGGAATGCAGGAGAGCCCCTAAAATCCCCCCAAGCTTTCCCATATTTACATATGAATCGCCTTGAGTACCCCAGGCTATCGTAGCAGGGCCAGTTCTAAAGGATGGAGCTGGAATTCTTCACTTACTGGACTGAAATGCAGAAGAGGGGCCTTGCTTTGCTCAGGCTTAACGCCTTTCCCCTATTAGCTCTCCTTTCCTCGCCCTAAACAGTCACATTTCCACTTCAGGAATTTTTAATCCACAAGTATTAGCTCTTATTTTTCCTACCCCTGCTAAGCATTATTTTGGGGGATATTTTTTTTTTAGGGAAGAATTCTGAAGGCCCATCCGTCTCTTACAACTGCAAGGCAGGCAGTTGTCTACTTTGTCTGTTTTGGGACCCCTCTCTCTCTGCAGTCCCTCTTCCAGGACAGGCGCTGGCAGCCCCTTGCTGTGCTCTGTGCTTTGCCAAGGGAACCGACCTGTCCCTTAGGTACCTTACCCTAAAGCCATCAGAATGCAATTCTCAGCTGGCTGTTCCTAGGACAACGGGAATGTACAGAGGAAGTCACAGGGACTGAGAGCCCTGCTCAAAGCCCACAAACACAGATTTGATAGGAAATCGAGGAAACGAAAGTTGCAGAACAATATGTCATCTTTTGTAAAAAGACAGAAAAGGGAAATGAGAGAAAAAGAAAACCTGGAAAAAAAACCAAACCCTTACATGTTTCCATATATATATATATATATAAAATAAGTAAGTGCACTGAAAAAGGAACGGAAGGAGAACACACCGAGCTCATCAGAGTTTGCCTGGGAAGAAACTGGGATTTGGGGTTGAAGAATCAATGGGGACTTGAACTGAATCAGTACTTTTTAATCTCACAAGAATCTACTAACGTATTGCCAGTAACTTAAAACAAACTGTCATGCTAACTAAGATACATCTCTATTGGGGAAATTTTAAACAATCTGTGAGAAGACAACTTTTGTTGAAGAGCCCTTTCCACTGCTTCTAAAATCGCACCATTAAATTGTGAGGCTTTACTGGATGGTGAGCCTGTTGTTGCTTTCCTCCATCCTTTTAGCTTTAAATTTATTTTAACAAATATTTGTATGGCACTTACCATGTATGTCAAGCACAGCCCCACTCATTTTGGCACTTTACAAACATTAGCTTATTTCATCCTCATAACAACCCTACTATCGTCCCCATCTGACTGATGAGGAGTGAAGAGAATTCAGTCACTGGACAGTAAGTGGGAGGCTGGGATTTGAGCCCACACTATGCTCTTGACCGATAGCTATTCTACCTCTAGGCAAATCATAGGAGTAGCGACCTGGAATTCTACTTGTGGGTTTTAGTGGTCAGCTGGTAGCTAATGGTAAAACAGTGTAATTCTAAAGCCCAGCTTAACCTCTATCGAGCCACAGTTCACCCACCATTAAGACTGTGAACTGTGGGGCCGGCCAAGTGGCTCAGTTGGTTAAGAGCTCACTTAAGAGTGCAAGCTCTCAGTGGTTCGAGTCCCACCTGAGCTGAGTTGCCGCTGAGCTGCCAACAGGTGGCAGGATGGCTCAGCTAAAAAAAAAAAAAGACTGTGAACTGTGTATTTAAGCATATGTGTGCGTGTTCATATGATTATAACTATAAAACCCTCCTCAGTATAATGTAAATAACCCGTTAGAATCGAATCTGTGTAAGTGCCATACGCAGTAAATGTTTAATAGTATTCCAGATGACTTAATGGCAGAAATGATGTGCAATGAAGGGAAAGGCCTGTGTTATCACACCCTTTGACGGATCTTTCTGACTTTTGCACAGATCATCCTACTCAGGGAAGAGGAGAGCCCCTTCATGAAGCCTCAGCTCCTTCTTGGTAACTCTGAGCAGCCTGGCTCCCAAAGGTACGGAGCAGGAATTAAAAACCTTGAATACCTACTTCTTAAAAAATAAAAGGTAAGGCTTTTAACCCAGGAGTCCACTTTTAGGAGTTTATTCTACGTAAATAATTGGACAAGTGCACAAAGATATACATATAGGGATGTTCTTCAATGTACAAAAAATTTTAGAAATGACCTAAATAGAAACAGCCAACATTTCTCCCCGAAGGGGCCTGGTTAAATAAACTATAGCATATCTGTGGAATAGAATATTACTATAACCATTGAGATACAGATCTATATTTGTTAATATGAAACATTGTGGGTTATTAAATGAGAAAAGCAGATTACAAAATGGTTTATGAGAGAATGCAGCTTTTCTATAGGAAACATGTACTAATATGACAGAATAATAAAATTTAAAAAGAAACATTTGCTATAACTGAGACTATTCTAATAAAGTCAACTCTCATCCCCTGCTAATCCATTTCAAACTCTTTCGTCACTTCTTAATAATCTGAGGTTTCTTTCCTGACCTAATCCCTTTAAGCTGCTGAAGAAAAAAAGTAATAAAGTACTGTTGAAATGACCATTGGCTAGTCTTATAAGAAAAGCAGAACACAACTGCCTGCTTTAGCAACATGTCTAGAGAGCTCAGAGGCAGCAATGTGTAAACCTGCTCATCTTCTCCCCAGGCCCAGCTGGAGGAATCATACATCCTGGTTTTCCATGTTACCACATGGCTCCAGCCAGCCCACCCAGCCCCCACCACTGCTTTCTCTCAGCACCTACAGGACTTTTATTTGGAGAAAGTTTGCTCAAGGTAGAACTTGCAGCACTGTGGTCACTGGCTCGTCCGCAGGGCTCACAAACGACTCTTCCAGAGTCACAAAACTTCAGGTCCTAAATCTCAACAGCAACTGAAAAACTTTCCCAGTGGCTTTCGCTCGGTAACAGCCCCGCCTATTTTGGCAAGTAGCCTGGAGCACTACCCTGCTGGGAGGGTTTCCACCTTGGGAAACACAGCTGGCCACTTCCCGTTTCCCCCTTCCGTTTCCAGGCGCTATCCCGAAGAGCAAACAGGAGTCAAGTGCCCCAAGTGCAAGAGTCTGCAACTTCCTGTGCTGCCAGGAGAGCAAGTTGAATGCTAGGATCAACTGAAACCCCATTTTTGAACACTCACCAAATACACAAACATCCTAGAAAGGTGTGTCACTGGTGTGCTTAAAACTGAGGCTATTATTATTTCAGCTTT